AGTCAAAGCACACAATAAACTCTCTCGCAGGCAGCTATAAAACACGGTGCTGAGCTTCCAGGACCAGTTTCACCTGATCAGATCTGTTCCTTTTATTGCCTGGAACAGATCAATCAGGTGGGTTTCTGAATTGTATGCATTATTGCAGAAATATCACCCACCAGTGGTTCAGGGGGCAGGCTGTAATAAAACCCGGTGCTGAGCTTCCAGGACCAGTTTCACCTGACCAAATCTGTTCCTTTTATTGCCCTGGAACGTTTCTGTCGGGTTTCTGAATTTTATGCATTATTGCAGAAATATCATCCACCAGTGGTTCAGGGGGCAGGCTGGTATAAAACCCGGTGCTGAGCTTCCAGGACTGGTTTCACCTGACCAGATCTGTTCCTTTTATTGCCTGGAACAGATCCATCAGGTGGGTTTCTGAATTTTTTGCAATTTTGCAGAAATATCGCCCGCCAGGGGTTTCTGGCTAAATCCAGGGGGGACAGAGGGTGCTGGTTGGCCGCGGTTCCACCTCACTGGATCGCTTCTTTTTATTCCCCTGCATCAGCACCAGCAGCCCCGTGCTGGAAATCAGCCGTTTCACCTGCCGGAGCTCGCCCGACGACATTTGATCGCTTGTATCTCCGCGGGGGAACATCCCAGGAACTTGGAACCACATCCAGGTTGTGACGGAGATTCGTAACATTAAAATGAGCTCTCATGCCCGGATCAGACGCTCAGAGCCGGTGCTAGAGGCTCCAGAGTAAATTGAGTACTATATTGCCCGCCAAAGCGCCTTTTTCGGCCTGTCGTTGGTTAATAGCTCCGCAGGGGAATGTTCCAGGAACTTGCAACCACCTCCAGTTTGTAGAGGAGGATCGTAGCTTTCCTGAATCCGATGCTCAGAGCTCGCGGGAGAACCAAACGAAGGTTGAAATTTCCTCCCAAAAATGCGCATAAAATGCACTAAGTCATGCGTAATTTGCTTATAGCTACGCGGGGCAACATCACAGAGACTCCATTCAAGTATCAGCTTGTAGGGCAGAACCAGAGCTTTAAAACCCAACCAGCCACTCCGGGATCCGATGCTCTTAGCCCTGGGAGGGCAGCTAAAACCACTCTGGCGGAAGGTATGACTGTGCGTATTTTGGAGGTTTTTTTGYTTATTGCTCTGCGGGGGGAACATCGCAGGGACTTCATTCAACTTTCACCTTGTAGGGCAGAACCAGAGCTTTCAAACAAGACCAGCCACTCCGGGATGCGACGCTCAAAGTCGGCGCTAGAGGCTCCGCAGCAAGGTTGCGCTGCGCGGGAACCTGGGAATCAAGCGACTGGTTGAGCACCCCTGCCTTAGAATGTAGGACACCACCTAGTGGATGAAAAAAATATTGCGGCTGTGGCGGAGTGGTTAGGGAAGTTGTCCTGGAACCGGTCCAGCCATCTCAGTTGTTGTGTCCTTGGGCAAGACACCACCTGCCTTGCCTACTTATGGTGGTCCGGTGGCGCTGGTGCATGGCAGCCTTGCTCCTGTCATTGTGCCCCAGGACAGCTGTGGCTACAGTGTAGCTGATGGTGATCAGTGAGAGAATGGGTGAACGACTGTAGTGTAAAGCACTTTGGGGTCTGGAAGGACTTAAAAGCACTATATAAGTTCAGTACCATTTACCATTGCAATACAGTTTTGAACAGCTATGCTTAATGGCTGACTGACAATACAGTGAACAAGTGGACAATTAAAAATTTGTTTCAAAAGCAATTTTTTCAGTTTGAATTGAAAATATTCAGTTGAGAAATGAAACGTTACAAAAACAAAAAAGTCCATTTGCCTTTCTTTGAAATTACTAAGATGGGAGATAACTGTAGGTACGTTTTTTTTGTCTAGTGTAGAAAGGACCCATTAAAAGCAGAGTTACTCAAATAAAATACCATTTAAGTATTATTTGACCATATCTGATCAAAACAAACACCTGAAAACACAGAAAGCAATGGACTCATACAGAAAGAAAAAAAAACTTTATTTAAAACACTATAACATTAAAGCTCTTCAACCATGTCTGTTACACATGTGCAAAAACACACTTCTTACACTTGTATTTTTATTTGTTTATTGACTTTTTTTTTTTTTTTGTACTGTTGTGTTTGCCTCCTCAGATGGTAAAACCTCGGTGCCGGTCCGTCAGTGTTGGGGAACAGTGGCTCCAACAGAACCGACTGCAGCCAATGACTGCTTCACCTTCCCGCACTCACTGCTCCTTCAGGTATTAAAGCCCCGCTCACCTTCACTGATGCTATATATCAAATATATAATATAAAACTAACATCAGWTTTAAAATGACTAATTACACAAAGTATTTTATTTAAATTTTTTTGTAGGAAGGGCCGTGGAGAGGCCAAAAAGTGTCGTAAGGTGTACGGCGTGGAGCACAAAGATCAGTGGTGCACGGCCTGCCGCTGGAAAAAGGCCTGCCAGCGTTTTCCCGACTAAACTCAGCTGTGAGATGGAGAGAGAGGAAGTGTGGACGGACGAATGAGTGTGAACAGACTTTTATCAATCAGATAATAAGCGTAAGAATCGGGGCTCGAGAGCCATCAAGAAAAACTACTTGTTTTACATGTTTTATGTTTTTTTTACTATTCTGTTCTTTGTTTTTATCCTAAAAGGAATGCAAATAAAAGTTTGTGTATCTTTGCATCTTGATCCTGAAAACTGAAGTCTTCGATGGTGCTGTTGACTGATTTTGACCATGTGATGTACTTAAGCCCCTCCTCCTTTTTGTACCCTAATGTCATAAATCTGCTCCTGTAGCTCCACTGTGTTATTAGACTGCTACTCAGCTGTTTTTGTTCTTCCACTCTCCTCTTCCAGTGGTCTCACAGTGGTGATGATGTACATTATATTGTGTGATATCAGCTACATACAAGTATTTTATACCTTTTCTGTTTTTTTTATTTGTCTTGTTTAGYCCGTGTATTGGGCAGATGGAGTTGTTTTTAAAATGTTTTTTGGCACTTTCTTGGACTGGTAACACACACACATGAATAAGCTACATTTGGTTTGACTCAGCCAAGTTCCTTCCATGATGCTGATTTCCTTCCCGCCCACGTGCCGGCACACAACCAGTGTTAAATATCCGTGACCGTTTGGAATCATGGCGGCGGGACTAGCATTAATCTCGAATCTCACTGGGCCGCGACTGTTCTCAGGAGTTTTTGGACTTCTTTCATGTTCCTGGAATTTTTACCACGTTTCATAAAAACAGCAATAAATTTACCTTTCTTGGACCTGCCTCAGTTTAGTTTCCATAAATCAGGAGCGAGGAATGTAAGACMACTTTGGGAGTCGACCTATGAAAACAAGCTGATAAAAAATTGTGATCAAACTGAGGCACAAAAATGTCCATTTCGTTTCCAAAAGTGTTGCAATTGTCACTTATGTGTGTTCACAAATGTAAGTATCAATTCACACTTGATTCCAATTAAAAWTATGCTTTTTTCACAGCTATTCGCCATTGGTCCCAGTGAGATACACGCTTTAGTGGAACGTTTTTGTATTAGAGGAAATATATTGTCAAACACAATAAATAATAAAGCACTGAGAATTTAAACTTGTTTTGACATTTTTTTTCTGCATGACAGTCCACGAGAGGAATAGCAAACTCTTTTATTTCATCGTTTTTGTTTTTACATTTTATTTTTATCCTTTTTTATTTTTGTCTGAGGACTCGATGGTAACATGTCAAATGTCGGAAATAAACACTGTTTTGCACAAAAAGCTACTTCCTATGTTGACAAAAAAAAACACAGAAGCACTTAGACACTCGGTAATCACCCACACGCTCATTAGCATAAATAATTGTATGTTTTAATCAGACACCAGTAAACACTTCAACACAACAAYAGTCGGCCTGTTTGTGATGCCAAAGAACAACTCATTAACGTTTTCTTTTTATCAAGCAGAAATCTGAGTTAAAGCAACAATCCCCACAACAGACATGCACAAATTATCTGCCCCCACCACACACACACACACACACACACATTATGTCCTATTTTCACAGGGACTTTGCATTGACTTCCATTGTTTTTTTTTCATTAATTTCTATAGCTTAACCCTGACCTAAACCACCAAGGGAACAAATGCTAGAACAAACAAACACACACACACACACACACACACACACACACACGCTGCCTTGAAATAGCTCATTAGGGTGAACTCTATCCTGAAGTCTGGGGAAGACAAGTTAAAGTTAATTTACATAATTTTAATGTGTGGCAATATAAAACCAATCTAATCTCTTTATTGACTGAAATATCTTTTTTCCCCATTATAATAGTTTGGTTTGGATTTTTAATTCTACTTCTGAACAGTGCTAATGGAAATGTTAGAGAAATGTGAAAAAAAAACCACTTCTTGATATTTCTACCATTCAGAAGTGGGTTTTAGTGTACAACTTATTCAAACATGATGTCTAAAGCTCATTGAATGACGTCGGTTTGGAAAAACAAGACAGTGATGAATCAAATAACACTGGCACAAGCTTTAATAAATGTTCTGAAAAATAAGAGTTGTTTTAAGGCTGCAGAAATTGGCTTTGCTCAAATAATATTAAAGGGTCAGTGGCTGGTTTTGAGTGGACTCACCTTATTTTAAAAATAACTTTAAAAGAATATTTTTAATTTTTAAAATGGCCAGATTATTCTTTTAATGTGGCATTATTCTCTTTGCGTTGCTGACCTCTGACC